GAAACTCCCATATTTACTCTGCAGACTCTTCCAACTGACCTGAAAATCCTGCTGGAACAACAGGCTACAGTTGCCCCTGAAGAAATACAGAAGTGGAAACAGAAAGGGGCAGTTCTGAAGGATGGAGTGTACTCCAACAACCTCAATTTCTGCCTCCCTAAGAATTTGTACCCAGCAGTCGTACAATGGGCACACAGACCTGCACATTTATCAAAGGATCTAATGAATGCTCTTGTACAAAAATACTACCTCACTGTCCCCATATGAGATTCTATTTGGGACTGCACCTAGGCTAGGTTGCTATTTTCCCCAACAACTACAACTTCAAACTGATGTTTTAGTAGATTATGTAACTGAACTCGCAAATGCTTTGAACAAAATCCATGCCCAAGTTTTCTCTAAAATTCCAGATCCTGATTCTGACACAGGCAACCACAGTCTGCTCCCCGGTGACTGGGTTCTGGTCAAGAAATTTGTGCGAAAACACACCCTGGAACCAAGATTTGACGGACCGTTCCAAGTTCTCCTGATCTCCCCTACCTCTGTCAAATTGGCCGGAAGGCCTAACTGGATCCACGCTTCCCATTGCAAGAAGACACCTGCCCCAGAGGAAGCTAACTCTATGCAACCATGTGCCTCTGGTACATTATCTCCTTAGTTGGCCTCCTTAAAGCCCAGCAGGTGGCCATCACCAAAGATGCTAGTGGGTACACTTTCTGGTATAATTCATCATGTACCCATGTGGCTACATTCACTTTTGATTACTGTGATATTGTAGAGTGCCCATTCCCTAAGTCACAGATTCAAGCCATTTATAAAGATATACCACAAGCAAAAGACCCTTACGTTTGTGTAGTAGATGAACAATGGGGTTATGACTGTAACTACTGGGGGGCTGCGGGATGGAATACTGGGCCTGCCTGGGGTTATAAACCCAAAAGTGCTTTATCTAAGATAGACAATCAGGGTAGATCCCTCCTTCAAAGAATGACTTTAAGAAAGCCTGGAGGAAGTACCCCTATGAAATTAATGTTAAATATTGAACATCCTGGCCCCGAGGATGCAGACCGATATGTAATGGGAATGTATTGGAAGAAAGGTTCCTACAACAAATTAGGTCATTTCTACCTCAGAGATATGTACCACTCTCCAGAGTGGCAAGGGGCTGATCATATGGTCCCAAATCCGCTAAAACCACATATCCAGTCCTTTAAAGATATGATGGCCATCGCTAACCCCACTTTTGAAGATACCATGGCCGCTGAAACTGGATTCAATGACATTAATTTGTGGTTAGAATGGATGAGGTATAATGCTAACAAACATAATAAAACAGCATGTTATGTATGTGGCGGTGCCCGACCCCACCTTGGCACCGTCCCCCTAACTCTCCCTTTAGAGATAGAAGATTGCTTCTTAAGCCTTTTTGCCTACCAATATGACTTTAATAGGTCCCTCTGCATGGCATGGACGGCAGAATACCCTCTCTTAGTTGAAAATGTTAAGCCACCAGATGGAGTCACAGTCTATAGAGGTAATTACACTTGTTATGCCATGTATGACGGGATTGGTAAATTCATGGGTAATTTTTCTAAAGGTTATTGCGCCACTTACAGAACTGTTCCTATACGCCTGTTGCAACACCATACCAGGTCATTGGGGGATATTTACTGGTTATGTGGGGATCTACAGTTAAGATCTAGGCTGGAAACTGAGTGGTGGGGTGAGTGTACCCTGGCCAAAGTTATCATGCCCATTCATATTATTTCTGATAATCATCATGACACATACGACCCTCCACATACATCAGCCAGAGTAAGGCGCGAAACCCCAGTAAAAGGCAGTTTTGACCCCCACATTTACATAGATGCCATTGGGGTGCCTAGGGGGGTACCTAATGAATTTAAAGCTAGAGATGAAGTAGCTGTAGGTTTTGAATCACTTTTTACCATAGTCACTGCCAACAAAAACCTTAATTGGATTAATTGTATCTATTACAACCAACAGCGCTTCGTGAACTACACCAGGGATGCCCTCCAGGGCTTGGCCGAGCAATTACAGGCCACATCCCAAATGACCTTCCAGAACAGACTGGCCTTAGACATGATCTTAGCCGAAAAAGGGGGAGTCTGTAAAATACTTCCCGACACTATGACTTGTTGCACTTACATTCCAGAAAACACAGGTCCTAATGGTAAAGTCACTCTGGCCATAGCTAAATTAAATAGACTCTCAGAAGAGTTAAAGAGAAACTCTGGAGTTACTGATCCCTGGGAAAAATGGTTTGGTTGGATGACTGGTTGGCAGAGAGCTTTAGTCCAGATTGGTATTGCCTTACTAATTTTTCTTTTTATTCTCGCTCTTCTCATTTGTTGTGTCCTCCCATGCCTAAGGAAATTCCTGCAGAAAACTGTAGACCAAGCAACACCAACCTTCACTCATCTGACAATCGATGATCAAGACCTCATCTCACCCTGTATTCCGCTACAAACTCTCCCTTATACTGATGAAGTGCAGAAAGTCTAGGAAGGGACAGTACAGGGACAGCGTCCGTCTTTATGGGTAGACTGCCGTACGGAGAAGTAGTGGATAAGCCACTATGGGTTACCAGCGGAGTGAAGAGTGTTCCTGAACCGTACTGACGGATGTGCTGCAGCCTGTTAGGGTCAAGAGAGGGATAGACTTGCACTTTGCATTAACACTAAGTCAGCGGTCATGGGGTTTCTGTGTCTTTGGGCTAATACTTCTTCTGATACTAACAAATAAAGTTTTGTCTTTTAGCAAATAACATTTTAGGGGGGACTGTTGTAGAATTATTAGGCCTCTATAAATTTGTAAGGCCCCTTTAAATCCTCTTGCTATACCTCTAAGAGGCCCCCATAGTTTTACAAGGAAGCTTTGTCTATAGAACATAGAATTTGCATGTCAGCAAGAAATAGCTTTGATAAAATGTGTATTTACTAAAATCCTTGAAACTTAACCTTGAGAAACTAACAAGTGCCAGCTACGCTCCAAATGGATAGCTGCCAAAAGGCCCCTCCCGTCGAGTGAGCTCCTCATTTTAACAAGATGGCGCTAAAACCTGTAGGAGTTAAGAAATTACGTAGATAGTGACCTAAGAATGGGGAGGGCATTTTACTAACATCTTAGCACCTAAGCCAATTGACAATGTCTATTTGTCTATATCTTGATTTTCTTCAATGATGTAATAATGCCTTTATAAGGGTCTGCGCACCCATTTTCTGTCAGAAGCCATTAAACTTCTCTGAAGTTCTTTCATTACCCTGAACCTTGTGTCTCAGTGTGAATTTACTTCTGCGTGCACGCAACTTTATTATCTTTAATTTGGACAGGAACAGATAGTCATTCAAACTAATTGGTTTGCAGTAAATTATCTAGAACAACACTACAGCCACTATCCCCCACAAACTGCAGCCCCTATATTCCCACATACTACAGCCTCCATCCACTACAACAATTAAACTCCCACACAAATAAACACTACATGCCCTCTACACACACACACACCACACATACTAGACTGCAAAAGCCCCATTCACACAACCCCATAAGCAGACTCTCTAATGCAAACCCAGACACGCAGGTCCACATGCACATGCAGCTACCTCTCCATACATAAAATCATACAGGAATACACAGCACCACAGCTAGTCTACCACACACAACACCAGAAGCAGCCTTCCCCCAAACATGGAACATCACAAGCAGCATCTAAATGCATACAAATTCACAACCCGCTTCCCTATAGAGACACACACAACACCCTCTCCCCACCCTGTTCCTCTTTTGTTCTCTGATATTCCACCTATGGGGACACCAGAGACATGTCACAAGCAAATGCAGAACAAGCATGCCATTAAATCGGCTTGCACTGTGCAAACACAGGGCATTCTCCTTATGCCAGAGCTCTTCAGCAGGGCTCTGCGCATGCGCTGCCCTGTAGGGGAATCAAATGGACATGTCCACTTTAAGAAGTGTGCATTTCATTGATGATGACACCCCTCTCTGGAACCCCACCCAACCCCCTCCCCTCCAATATTGGGCTACTCTGCCTTTAAATGCCCAGGCCTAATTTTTGTCCAAGTCTGGCCCTCTGAGTATGGACCAATCATTTACAGGTACTGTGGTTTTAAGTAAAGGAAGAAGAGTGGAGGTGTAGATGCCTGCTGGCACGTTATATATTTGGGCTATGGATATGGAATATGGCATTTCTAATATCTGAGGGTTATTAGGGGAAATACTAGAAACAGTCAATTAATCTACGAAAAAAAGGTAATACTGTGCATCTTTCCCCAACACAAGGGAGAGCGAGCTGCAGAGAGAACATTTAGGAAAGAACATTTAGTGCCACACGTTAACTGGCTGCTACAGCAGTAAGACACGGGAAGGTGTCTACAACTACACATCCTCGAAACAATTGGGATGTACAGTGGCCCAACAGGGCAAGTCACCTGCCGATC